TACATGTTACATCAGATCACAATTAAGTCAATAGAAATTGGAGATTTGCATATAATCATCCTTGTATACTAATCAGTTGTCAGTCTAGAAAGCCATTTTCTGCATCCAGATAGAATATAGACCTTGGTCCAGTGATCAGTTCAAAGATTGTGTAGCAACACCAGTTCTTTTGTTTCTATGGATTTTCTTGAGAAGAAATATGACTCCTTTTCAATGCATAAAGAATACTCAATAATTTCTTCATGTTTTATACTACTGCTTCCAGGAGCGCAGTGGAGTTCAGATTTTGGCTGAATGAGGTTACTCCTCTGATGTGCCAAAACTGCAGTAAAACTGCCTCAGTAATTTCTTTTGATGTGGGATGCAAATTCTCTTCGAGCAACACATGTTCTTTTTCTGGTGTGCTACCTAAATGTAACTTTGCCTGACCCTTGATCTTCTGGCAAGAATACAAGCAATTCTCCAGGATGTTCTTGGTCAGTAGATATGGCCATATTGCCTTCTCTCATCTGTTGATTTCTGCAGGGGGAGAGTTTTGGGTGCCTGTTGCATTTCCTATTTTAAAAGCCATTTCAAATTGCCATGACTTTGGTTTCATATCAATGTAGATAAAACTGGACATTTGCCCCCTTCCAATACAAATATATAAACATCTGTGAGAAAACACTTGAGGGCTGAACTGCTCAGAAAGCAGAGTTACTTTGAGAGTTTGGTTTCTCTGAAGCATTTCTCTAATGGAAGGAGAGGAATTTAGAGCTCAGTTTTACCTGACTGTATTCCCTGGTACCCAAACTCTCTGTGGCAGTCAAGGAGCTTCAGTCAGCACACTGTGAAGTGCCATCCCACCCAAAAGAATTGAACACATGTGCAAGTGCTCTGGGGAAGGGATTTCTCCCTGAGCTGGGATCTGGGGATCAAAGAGGAGACGAACATTGAGCTCCTGATGGCTTTGGCAGTGGGATGCTGTGTTGCTTGGGAAATAAGGACCACATCCAGAGAAGCAGTTCAAGACTTGTTTTGAGGACTGCCAAGGAATGTGGTCTGTGGAAAGGAATATATCCTTAAGTGAAGGCTGTTTTTTCATCAGAACACTCCTGTGAGGGGTACATGAGCAAGTGTTGTGGTTCTTTCCCACCCAGCATTCTCCCCACATTCCCAAACCCTTGGTTCAGTGTCTCAAACAGGACAGTGGACAGTGCTGTGTCTCTCACTATGTGTTCCACTAAGTCTTGGTGACTTTTCCTCCAGAGCTTTAAATTCAGTTTTCCTTGGAAACATTACCTTTATAGAGCATTATTCACCCTAAAGGGTTTTCAGGTTAAAACCCAACAAGGTATTAAAACAAACCCTGTGAAAAGTAGATGTTTCATCAGTCATTTTAATCTTTACAATATGTGCTTCATGTACCCAGGACACCGTTGATTGCTTGCTGTATTATGTAAATCTAGAGAATAAAGTAGGTCACTCTTCAAATTGTCTTCTTGTAAGGATGTAATTAAACTGCATTAAGGCAATTACTGTATTGTAAGTATCTACTGATTTTTAAAAAACAATGTAGTTTTAGTTTTGACAGTGATATAATTTCCTATTTATTATGTTTTAATTAGAAACAGTGGTAGGTAGGATTAAGGTATGGTAATTTGACGTAACTATTGAAATTCTGAAGTAATAGGGTTACTCTACAGTACAGTAGTAGTGGAAGGGGGATAGGGAAAGAAAAGCTACTAATTATTCAAATCAAGAATTTTGGTAAATATTCTGGTAAATCCTGAACCAGATGCCTCTGAAATCTGCTCATGTTTGGGTCTGAACTTGGTCTTAACTTTAGGAATCTTAGAATTTTTATGGGTGCTGGGAAGGTCGACTGTAACTTTGATGCCAGTGGTGTGATTTTTGTCTCAGTGTGTCCTTAAAGTCTTTTGGCTTTCTGCAAATGTAAGAATCAATGTAAAAAACCAATGTAAATCAATGTAAAAAACTCAAGAAGTGGAAGATACATCCACCTTTCAGAGAGTGACGGGTAGAACTGGTTGCTTTGGCATGTCCAAAAGATTAGGGAGAATAAGAGAAAAAACAAGAAAGCACACATGTGTGGGTAGAAACACTATTCAGCATAGACTTCAGCAGTCTGGCAATAGAAGGTTAGGGAACAAAGAGAAAATTGACAAGAAATCAGGTCAATTTTGGCTTTCCAAAAGTCTGTCAAGTCCATGGTTTTCAGCTGTATGACAGCATGAAAATGAGCTTCCCAATCTGTCTGCTCCACTCTAATTCCCAATACCACTGTAAGTTTCTATGTCTAATATAAGCCATTCTTTCTGTGTCCTGAGACCTGCAGCTGAGGAGAATAGATGATTCCTGCAGAATCAGCTCTTCAGCTGTAGGCATTGCTTGTGAAACCTCCTTTGGACAATTAAATTACATAAATAAATATTGCTTACGTTTGCACAAGACTAACCTCATATCTTGGGTTGGTAACTTTGATTTTAAAGGAGGAAAAGCAGTTGGCAAATTTTTGAGTTCCATCCATCATGGTGTTATGGCTGCAAAGTGAAGTGGAAGGGGATTAGAACAACAGTAACCTGGCCAAATAGAAAATGCAGAGTTGTAAGGGAGCTGCTTGACTGGAGGGAGTCTGTGAGAGGTCATCCTCAGGAATGGAATTTTAAACCTGGTCATAGGTTGGAATCCCAAATGCAGGGAATTTTCAGAACTTTTGGCCCGTAAGCCAAAACTTAGAATTAAACACAGGATTTGAGACCTTAGAAAAAACTTCCAAACTTAGGTGCTAGCACTGAGACTGTAGATTTATAGTTTAAAGCAGACACACATTAACTTAAGTAGAAGAAAATTTAGAATTTTAGAGTTTAAGATATAAAAATATAAAAGTAGTTACAAAAGTAAACAAGGAGTTAGAATGCAGTACTGTAAATTTGTGTGTCATAACATGATTAGCTAAGAAAACTTACACTATAGCATGAGTCCATAAGATGGAATATTTAAAGATTAAGTCAAAAACATAAATATCCTTGTTAGGAGTGTTCTATTAGTCAATAAATCCTTAAAAAGTCTTATAACTAGGAGTCTTGTGACCTTCTGAGCCATAAGGTGAAGATGTGAGCTGAACTCACCCTTCCTGCCTATGTAAAAAATAAAAAAATAAACCACATAGTCTAAAAACTCAAAAGTCCCATCTCTAACTCACTCAAAATTCCTTTAAAAATCCCCATAGTCATATTTAATGTGTTCTTCAGAAGTCATAGAGCCCAAACTGTTGAAACTTATTCTCAAAATTTGCAAATGATAAAATGATAGAATGAACATTTGATCATAAAGAACTGGACAACCTATTGTCATTGAGGGGGGAGAGAAATGGGACAATACTGCTACGTTAAATTTTAAGTCACAAGTGTAAGAATTAGAAAAAATTTCTGCCACAAGCAAGAAAATGCTGCATTTGGACATAATGGTGGAATCATCCCTACCTGTCTTAAGAGTTAACCTGATCACAAGTTTCTGGCCATTATTAGTTACTGTGGGTGACACAAGCCTCAGATATGTCATGTGGAATTTGTGCAGTGGGAAAACACGGGTGAAAATTTGTGTAAATACTGTTCACCATTTTGGCCATCCATGTTTAAGAAGGAAGAATTCAATCAAGAACATGTGCAGGCAGGTGAAGGAGAAGTAGAAGTTTCCTTTTACGAGGGAAGGCAACAGTGGCCTACACAGTCCATTTAAAATCAGGGACATCTGACTTTCTCATAACAAATTAGGAAAATATTCAGGATAGGAAGGAACTATTTATGATAAAGGATATAAGTATTAAATAATAAATAAATAATAAATAAATTCTAGGGACTAAGCTTGTGGATGGGGTTGTGCCCTTGGAGCCCATTACCTGCCGGAGCTCACCTCTAGGTCAGGGGTGGCTCCGTGTGGTGGAAAAGTCTCTCCTCCAACCCGTGCTTCCAAAGAAAGGCTCAGAGGTCTTCTGTTGTCTGGTCTCAAGGCTGTTTATTGATATTATCTAAAAGATTTTCTCCTTGAGGTGCTGCAATCTGCTCAGCAGCTCAGGCAGAGGCACACACACACACCCTGACATCCTCTCTGACTGCTGTCTTCTTCTCTCTCCCCGCCCAGGGCTGCTGCTCTCTTTTATATGGTACATTACGTGTTACATGGTTACAGTTTTTCCTCAATACCTACTACCTGTATTAAATGGTGCTTTTCTATCTTTTATATGGTACATTACGTGTTAAATGTTTATAGTTTTTCCCCAATGCCTATTACCTATATTAAATGGTGCTTTTCTACTCTAAACCAATCTGTGAGTGCCAACACCACCAAGAACATGGAGGTAAGGAAGAAGAAAGAGGGAGGACAGGACAGGCCCAAATCCCTCCATCTTAAAATCTCTGACCCCCATGTACAAAACCAAAACCCCCCTGTACAGCACTCAAAAATTCTTCCCTTTACTTTGTGACTAGTTCTACAATAATATCTAAACTTTTGTGACTCCTTGTTCTTCCTGGAAGGTTGGTATGATTATTCTATGGTTCCAACCCAAAATCACAGCTGTTTCCAGCTGCCTGCCAGGGTTTCAAATGCTTCTGACCTGGGCCCAGAACATCCAAAAATGTCTGAGGGACATTTTGAGTTCCAATAATTACCCTCTCCACAAACACCCACAGAGGGATTAAGTCACACATCAAACTGAAAGCAGCACCTGGAAGTGAATTTGGCATTCCAACAGAGAAGTGTCGCTCCCCCAGTCTGATCTGCCAGCTGGCACAGGGACAGCAGGGTCTGACATGGTCACTGTGGCCACCTCTGGAACAGCAGAGGAAATTCTCCTCCCAGAGAGCCATTACCTGAAGCATTTTCAGGATGAGCAGTAAAGATGGGATTTAAGGGAAGCAAAACCTCACTACTGCTAGTCTGTCAATTTTAGCCAATTTGCACTCATGAATACAGATTTTTTTCTTCTTGCTTCACAGGTGCACCCCTGCTGCATCAGGCATATTGTTCTAGGCTGCTGTGCAAATGTGGCTGCCAGGGTAAGCTGTTACAGTTAAATTGTATATCTATATTTTATAAGCTCCATAATGCTCATATCTGCAGATATTCACTTATAATAATATACAGAATTATACACATATATTTACATTAATAAATCAGGCTAACAAATTGTCCTTTAAATGTTTTGCCATTCTTGTCCTCTCTTTTCCTTTCTTTCATTCCAAACATCCCTTGGACTCCAAGATAACATTCTTAAAATAAATGTTGGACCTTTAAGTAAAACTTCTTTTCTGTGTAAGGAAAGCTATTGTGACTCATACAGCCTTAACACTAATCACTCACTGATCTTTCCTGGAATATAAACTAACTCTGTTTATTAATCTGAAATAAACAGCAGGAACATCTCTGGCACCATTGAAAAAATGAATGCTGTACACTATATTTTAAATGTAGTTAGTGGAAATTATACTGTTGTTGCTTACTGAACCAGTTCAGGTGAATAATTTAGACATGAGGATGTAAATTAATTGGTAGGGTTTTTTTTCCTTATTTTTTTTTTTTTTTTTACTTAATGGATATGGCTTATAAATTTGTGTCCAGATATGGAGTGAGATATATTTTGTTTAAACTTGTATTCCAGGCATGTCTGTGGTGGTACCAAGTACCCTGAAATCATCTGGCATCTGTGGGAGTTGCAGGAGCTCAGCGCTGAGCAGAAAATCGGGCTCTTTGTGCTTTGAGAATGCTAATCCATTGTTAGGGTTTCCTTTTAATCTGAAAATAAACACAATGTGTGTTCTGTTAACTTAGACAGGTGCTAGAGCCGACAGCTCGAGGTTTAAGGGCAAGGGTCAAGCAATCAAAAGTGGTCCTCTCTTGCACAGATCATCAAACAGAGAGTGCATCAATGGGCTCAGTGGCCAAGGCTGGAAATTAATCAGCTCAGCCCTCGGTGTTTAGCCATGCTGATTATATCCTGGCAAAGTGAGCAGGAGCTGACAGGCCAGGGGAGCTCACGTAATAGGAGTGCGTTCCCAACAAAGGCAGGGAAGGACGATCAATTTGCAATATTCTTTTCTGCACCCATGCAACAAAGCAGCAACATGAAAGCAGAACATTAAGGGATGCTCCCTATGAACTGGACAAATCAATAAACATCAGTGGTAAGGGGAGAAAAAAAAAGTTTCTCGTTCTGTTGTGTACCCTGAGGCCGTGTCTGTCTTTGTGAAGTGCTCAGTAGCAGTGGCCTCTGTCATGTTTCCTTTCACCTACATGGTGTCATCTGCTTCAGTCTCAAGGTGAATGCTGGTTTGCACAATCAGAGCGAGTGTTTAAGGAAATTGTTCCATCTCTTTGGGAAGAGGTGGTAGGGAACAACACTCTGCAGAAGCTGCAGTGGACCTGAATACACAGAGCTCCATTTCTACATTGGAGCTCGGGGTAGAAACTGGATTTGGTGGACCTGAATACACAGAGCTCCATTTCTACATTGGAGCTCGGGGTAGAAACTGGATTTGGTGCTTGCACCTGGTGAAAGATTTCAATAGTTTCAAAGATTTCAGTTCAGAACACTTGAATAAGTGCCAGTTGCTTTCATAGGGAATGCCAGATGCAAAATCTGGTTTGATGTATAGGAGTTTACCTTTTCTTGGAAAATGAATTCCCACAATCAATAGCTGGAATAAAGTAAGAAACCCAGGGAAAAAATAGAGAGAGATGAATCCAGTTTGTAGACATAAATAATGATTTCTAGAAGCATTTGGGAAAGGGAACTACAACTGAAAAGAAAAATGTTTATTGCAGCCACAGCCAAATCTGGTGTTTGGCCAGTTATTTTATCATCTTAAATATTTGGCTGTGAGAGCCAAGCCTGTAAATGAAAGTATTTCCAGCAGTGTTACAGCTTTGCACTGACCACTTTCACATGTATGTGAAATATCTATTAGATGTACATTCAATGCTGTTGATGAAAGAACAGCTTTCTTTTGGCTTCCCACTGGCTTTGGTGGAGGAGTCCTCACTCTCTTGGCACTTTATTTTTAAAAGCAAATAGAGCAGAATGCTAAAGCACATTTTAAAGCATGTGACTCTTCCCTTTGCAAGGAAGCCTGTGCCTTACAGGGCACATGGTGTGAATAGGTTGTTACCTGCTGGCAGGGAACTGGTGAAGGCTGGGGGGCAGGTGGGGTTCATCAACCTGGGCACAGTCCTCTTCACCCAGTTGGATCCAGCACATGACCTGGTGAGGGTGATGGCAGTGGCAGCTGCAAAGTATTTTGCTGGTGAATGACAGTAAACGATGAAACACCTTGGACTCAGGAAGGTATTTGTGTTTGTCAGCAATTCTGTTAGTTAAACAGTTATTAAACAACAGACTTATCCCTTTTTTTTGCAAATGGGGTAAGTCAGCCTGGCAGGTCCAGTCAGCAGGAACTGAGTGTGTGCCCTTTTAGCACAAACCCCCAAACTCAGCAGGTGCTAAAAAGCTTGGATGCCTCCTGCAAACAGGCTGTTTAATTGCAGACCCAAAGCAGGTCACCATCAAGTTATATGTGATATGAGACCCTCTATGGCATGGCTAAGGCATGGCTGAGGAGACCTCTTTTTGGCCAATTGTCTGGCAGATTTACAGGGTAAATAAATTCAAAAAAGTTTATGATAAGCCACTAATGTCTTATCCGCGATCAAGAAGTCCAGCAAAGGGGATGTGGGAGGAAGGAGGAGTGGGAACAGTTGCAGAAGCCAAACTTGTGCCTTGGATTAGTGTCTGGTATTAAAGAGTCAAAGAGAGGTGCCTGCTGCTTGTGAAAAGCAAATTGATGGAAGTTTTGTAGAATAGATCATCTTCATGGAAGTGGTGCAGCCACTTTGAGTGCCAAACTCAAACTCTTGGCATCCTGATAAACAAGACAAAAGTTGTGTGCTTGCTGTGTCCCCTGAGGGAACCCTGGGCTTCCTGAGTGTTACTGGGGAGACTGGGAAGAAATGATGACCCAGGAAATGGAGTGAGTCTTGAAAAGGATAAGTCAATAAATGTTGGGAAAGGGGTTCCTGAGAGAGGTGCAAGGGTTGGTGGTGGCCTTTTGTCATGCTGCTGATCTGTTTATCATCAGCAATGCCTAGTCACAATGCTCTAGGCCTTGTTAGTATTCTCAAATATTTGATCTAAGCAAGTTGCTTTTGCACTGTTCACTGTGCTTGAGCTTCATGTGGACTTCATACACAGAAAAATCCTTGTTTTGTAATCTGTTTTGTTTCCCTGCAATATGATTGCATGAACCTGAGGGCTTTGAAGTAATCAGAGGACTTCTGATGACTTAAAATATTTAAATTTTTCTAATGACAGAGTTTGTTTAAAGAACATTACGTTAATGTGTAAGAAGTCACACAAAATGAGCACTTTCCAGGAAACAAATCAGCCTAGGGCATTGATTCTGGTTAGAGAACTGAAGTGTGGAATTTGTTATTTGTTTCTCTTGAGCATTCCATTTTGCGCCACCTGACTTGGTGTGTGTGCTCATTATTGCACACAGCCATAGTTTTTTGACATTTGTTGAGGGAGAATGGGAAATGTTCAAGCTGATCAGCTGGTATCCCACCTCTGTGAGCAGAAAGGAAGCAAGAGGTTTATCAGTAGCAGGACATTTCTGCTAAAATAATGAGGAATGGAACAGTTAAAATCAAGATTTTTAAAAGCATATTGTCATCTTCAAGTTTCTAAGTGTCTGGAATGGAAAGCCAGAGCCATATATGCTCTTATTTAGGGACCTCTTCGCAATGAGAGTGGTAAACATTTTCAGTATTTAAATAAAATAAGCTTCCCTGTTACAGTAGATTCAGGAGTTCTGTTTATCTATCCATCTTGATGAAAGCTGGACAGAAGAAAATAAAAATTACATAAATGTAACAGTTTTAGTTTGGATAAACAAAATGTTCTAAGTCACTTAGGAATACAGGTGTTGAAAATCTAATGTCACCTGGGTAGACTTGAAAATTTTGCCTTGTCTTTTCAAATAATATCGACAAGAAGATCTTGTTTATTGACAAGAACATTTTAGATGTGCATGTTGTTGAGAATGGAACAGGAGTAATAGCTGATCTCTTTGACCTAATAAAAGTGCTCAGAATTTTTAAACAGATGAATGTTATCAACCATTTCCATTGTGCAACAGCCACAGCCTAATCAACAATCTATTTCTGACTGTTGGAAATACCAACCTTTTGTTACTTAATTTCAGTTAAACATTTCTGCCTTACACTTTGGAAGTGCTATTCCAGTGTTGGCAAATACCCAGAGGTTTGTAGATATTTTGGCTGTTGCAATGGTGATGGAACTGAGACAAAGTTTGAGAAAAGGATGTTAGTGACTTCAGGGGAAGGAGAGGTTCTGAAAAGAAGAACTAAAAACGGGAGGAAAGGGACTAAAAGTTAAGGATCTTTTCTACTTGAGTTCATCATGCTCAATCCATCCTTTCTTTCCTGGATCAGCATCCTGCTTAATTTCTGCTATATTAGGATATGGAAAAGAAATGGTTGCAGTAGAAAATGCCTCAGAGGGTATGGATGGCCACCTGCCTCCTCCAAAGAATGCCTCAGAGCTGGTGCTGGGCATTCCATAGCCTCTGTATGTGCATGCTGCTCCTCACTTAGGGTCACACTGACAAACTTTGATTTAAAATTGCTGCTGGCTTTTTTTCTACTTTTTTTTTTTTCCTCTGGTGTAGATTTTAAGTGTCCCATGTGTTTTGAAAATTCTATGGAACATAACTTCCTTCTGAACACACCTGATTTTAAGTTGCTATGCGTGTTGGGTTTTTTTTGGTTGAGATTTTTGTCTCTCAGAGTTAAAGTTGGATAAATGTTGGTCATTGCATTCTAAGAATGCCATAATGTTGGCATTTGGCCATCAAGAAATGCTTTGTGTTTTTGTTGAGTCTTCATTCAAGGTCTTCTTAATAAACCAGTGCTGAGAGCTAAAATACCCACGGAACATGGAAAGTAAACCTGATCTAGCTGATGTTAAATGACAGGCTTTTTCTATTCCAGATTGTCTTAATTGCTTGTAGTTGATTTTCCTGTATCCCGTCTTTTAAAACTGCTGGTTTTGAAGATTGTTGCAACTGTGTGTCAGCAGGGGCCATCAAATCTTGATGCTGTTCCAGGGTCTGTCTCTGCAATGCTCAGAACAGACTTCATCTTCACTTGAGCATTCCCCAGAAGTTCTAATTGTCATAATACCTTATTTCCTAATGTTTTAGGATGTTCTTTGGATTATATGTGAGATATGTTTGCATTCTGTTCCTCTATTCTATTGCAGTAGCTTTTTAAAAGAAAGTGGTTTGTGGTGTGATAGGCAAACTTTCCATATGATTATACTGGCTCTTCTGACTTCAGGAATGTGAGGGCTCTGGGCAAAATCTGGATGATTTTTCTCTTTGGTTTGTGGTAAGTGAAATTATAATTAAGAGCTCTTTATAAAAAATCAAATTCTTAGAAACAATCATTTACTTTTTGCATGTGAATGAAAACAGATGGACAGAGAAAGGAGATTTATAGGAAAAACCTTGAGTTATTTTGTTTTGAATTATGTCTTAAAATGAAAATTTGAATCAAAACTTTTCAGTAAAATCTAGCATTTTAGTACCACAGAAAAACTAAAAAAAAAAACCAAAACAAAACCCCAAATCATCCCATTTTTTTTTCCCCCACTGAAAACATAAAGTCAACAGCTTTGCACAATAGTGTTTAAAAAGTTGCATTTTTTCAGTGGGTTCTGGAATGTGGGATTTGGTTTTCTTGGGGCTGCTCTGTGGTGTGGCTGCTTTTGCCCTGGTTATTCTGATCTCTGGAAATTGCTCAGGGGTAATAGTTACTTTTCCTGTCACTATTGCCAGACCTTACAAGTCCTGCTAGCTAGATGCTTATCACTGAAATAAGGAAAAGTTTGCTCTGTCATCTACTAGCTGCCAAATAATCATTCACAAGCAATTTTTTTTCTACTGCAAGATGGACATGAAACACCTGCTAATTTCAGGCTGGTTGGTAAATCCCTCTGGAGCCTTTACAGGAGGCTGCACACAGGTTGCACCTTTGAACAGAGACGTTCAAAATGTGTGTTTTGAAAAACTGATGTTGATTTCTCTGTGACCTGCACCCACACTTAGCTGCCCAACTTATGGGACTGCAAAGGCAACCTCATTTTCCAGGATCTCTGTGGATCCTTCTCTGAAGCTCATCCCTGTTATCATGTCATGTCCTACACCGTGTTTAAAAATAATTTTGTGTTAAGCAATGAAGACCCTAGGTTGGCATGCTTTTAAAAAATAAAATAGCATGGCAATTACCATGCCAATTGTTGCTGATGGTTCAAAATCTCTCCTTCCAAGTTTCAGTTTTTTGCCTGCTGTTAATGCTCCTGCTGAGGCTATAGTGGTTATCTGCTCTGATTCACTGGTACAACCAATATCTGTGAACTCTCTGAGGACATTCTTGGCAGCTGCAGGACATAATTACCACATTTGAGAATATTTTTTAGGCATTTGGATCTATGGCTGGCTTTTCAGATTGCTCCCCAGCTAACGACCCCGTTGCTGGTTTGACACAGTTGACAGCTGGCTGTGCTGGTGGCTGAAGAACTGCCTCTGGGGCTGTCTCACAATGAGGTTAATGATGGGCTAGATCAGTTCCCTGCATTTCCTAGACCTCATTTACCTGGAATTGTGCTCTTCACTAGGCTTTTCCATGATGACAAGGGACCTCACCAAACTTCCCTAGTTACTGAATGGTGCAGCTGCTCTGCTGGGGCAGATTGGGGCTTATTTACTGGGTTTGTTTTTTGTTTGTTTGTTTGAAGTAGTGACAACAGGAGCAAAAAATCTCTGCTCTGAGAAGTGCACTGTTTTAATAAAGGGAAGTGCTGTCAAACATCCATTTTGGGCTGGACTCATACTTGTTAACTGTCTGAGCATCCCTTTTCTCTCTCAAGTTATTATGATCCACAAAGGAGTGTTTGTACTTCAGTGTGCTTTTGGTTTTCTTGCTTCCTCCCTGCAGGGCTTCTGGAGACCATGACTAATGATGGATTTGTGAAGCTTCTATGTAGATCCCATGTCTGTAAGTGCCTCACACATGGAAGTTTAATAGCGATTTTTCTTGTGATACTTCATTTGTGGTCAGCTGTGCAAGGTGAAGAGCAAACATAACATTGATATGTGGTGCTGATATTTTAAACAGAGTCACAGGAAAATAATTATTATATCTGGGGAGGACAGCACTAAAGGGATTTTTTTTTCCCCTTAAAGCTTTTCCTTCTCCCTGGGATGGTTGAAATAGTTAAGTCATTTTAAAAACAAATTCCCATCCTCCCTGATTTAAGATCTATTCCTGCAGTATGTATTGAGTGGGGGAGATACTGTAGCATTTTTATGAGGAGATAAAATATTGGCTTAATGATAATTTGGCAAAGGTTCAAAATATCTGAGAAGACTTCCTGGAAATTAAAAACAACTCAAATGTAAGAGAAAATTAAGCTACTGACCCCAAGTACAAAAGGGGAAGAGCTCAGACATCCATTCTTCCATGCTCCTTGATTTATTCTTTTTACTTTTCTTTTCTTCTTACCTTTTTTTTTCCCCCTCAATCCTCTTTTGCTAATTATCTCCCTTTGACCCTGGCTGCTGTCATTACAGTGTGGAGGGATAGTTTGGTGTAAATTTGCTCTTACCATACAGCACATTTTTAATTTTCCAGGGATTTTGTTTTTTGATGATGTTGAAACTTTTGTGAAGGCTTCCAAACTGAATAAATGTGTCTGAGACCAAACCCCCTTTATGCTTGCAGTGTGAGGGCTGAGGAGAGAGACACTTCCTTTGAGAAAATTAAATTCTTCTCTATACTTCAGCCATTTGCACAATTTTTCTACAGGAAAATGTGTAAATATCTGGAGGTGTGAGGATGTCATAGAGACTATTTTGGTCTTCCTAGTGCTGCTGCCTGTATATGGTTCATCTGAGCAGACTTCTCCATTCTATTCCCTCTCAGGGACCTGAGCTGATCCTCTTTGACATCCTTAGATGAAGACCTTATTTTTGGGATCTGTATCAGTTTGGGATCTGCTCAGTTCGAAATACAGAATCAGACTCACTAGAGCTCTTGTAGCATAAGGAATAATTCCTTTTTATCTGTGGAGCTCCTAACCTCACTGCCGGGAAAAGTGGAAGGTGTGGTAATTGCAGACAAGTTTCTTGGTTTGGTTTTTCACTGCTGGGAAAAGTGGAAGGTGTGGTAATTGTAGACAAGTTTCTTAGTTTGGTTTTTCAGGAGGGTTGAAAGAGATTTTCACATTTGAACATGTGGAGCCAGACACACCATTGACGTGTTTTTATTTAATCACATCAGCCAGACAGTGATAACCATTGATTCCTGCACAGCAGACATTCCATGAGAACTGCCTGTGCAGAGCATGAACATCTGATTTTAATCCATTGTATGATATAGCCTTTTAGAAAATTGCTACTTTTTCACATCTTGGTCCTTTTCTCCTCCCCATAATTCTGGGGAAGGGTGGACTGGGAAGGAGCATCTCACACGGAAATTTGGGAAAGCTGAGAAAGCAAGGGAAGGGATATCAAGAAACAGGAATCAGAATAACATTTGGTGGTGGTGTTGAAAGTGTGTTTGGGGCAAGTTTCCAGCATTTATAGCTACAGGACACTGTGGATGTCACCCAAATGTCATGGATGCTGGAGTCTGCAGTCACTCCAACAGCAGCTGTTGGGATGTGCCCCACTGCACTGGTTCTAGCTCTGAAATCCACTGTTGCTCATCCGAGTGATGTGCTGTGGCATGGAGCACAGGGAGGTCCATGGAGCCTGGACTGTTTTGTCTTGGGGAAGGCAGCTGGTCCTATGAGAAGCCCTGGAAATTCTGGTTAGAGCCACAGACATCAGTCTGGGGTCTGCAGCTGGCATCAGCAAATCCCACAGATGGCAGTGGCTCAGGGGCTGATGGAGCCCAGCCTTTCAGAGCAGCCATTGACCCTGGTCTCTGATAAAAGTCAGCACTGACTTTCAGGTTTCATTTATTTATTTATTTATTTATTTATTTATTTATTTATTTCCATTCTAACCCCTTAAAAGCAGAGTTTCAAGCCTTGCACTCTGACCTGTTGTTACTTGCTGTTCCCATTCTTAGCCTGTCAGCTCATGGTCTGCCTGTGCTCTGTGTGCTCCAGAACCTCTTTTGGAAACTGCTGGAATTACCTCACAGAGCTGTGGAGTTGGTTTCTTCTCCAAGCTCAAGTTGTGAATCTCTTTTATTTTATTTATTTATTTTTTTTAGATGCAAATTACAGAAACTTAGAGAGACTCTTAGTCCTCCTGCTTCTTCATTTCAATGTCTTTGCACTGGGTATTTTGTTTCCTTTTAAAACAATTTAATGACTGTTTAGGGTACGTCTGTCTACTGCTCTGGCCTGAAGAACAGAGGTCACTGAAACAAAAAATTTGTTGCCCACTGCTTTGACAGCAAAATGCTTCAGGACAGGATGCTCTGGATAAGCCAGCTGTGCCTGCTCCAAGACTTGAGCTCTTTGGAGGGAGGCAGTGATAGAATCATGTGAATGGAAATCTTTAGGAATAAACAAGCTTTGGTCCAAGCCAGCTGAAATATAAAGAAAGGTTCAGAAAAATCTATGTTAGAACAGGGCAGGAAAGGTAAGATTTCATGGAGCATCTCCCCTGATATCTGGGCATTAACTTTGTGCCCACTGGCTGCTTGGAAAGATGAAGAACTGGTTGTGTCCAACACTGTTGTTGGCATCACCAAGATCTATGCACAGGCTGCTGGAGTGTTTCCTCTTGTAAATGCCCCTTACTGTACTTAAATTCAGTGATAGAACTGATGATTTGGCTGTCAAGGTAAGCCACCTAGCCTGGATTTTGTGCCTATTTCTTGCCACCAGCCCATCTCTAGGATCATGAAGTCTCTAAAGATTTTGCAACTTCTCCTTCCCTTAAAACCAAGGATACCAGCATGCCCAGCCTCAAAAAGATAAGTTAGTCAACATTCTATCTTTGTATTCTTATGTTTGCACTGAACTGAAAAAAGAGGTGAGCTGAGGAAGAGGAGGAAATTCTAAAGGTATTAGAGCAATTCTGAGATCTGGTTGGCTGTCTGTTTTTTTATTTCTTTTTCTCACTCAGGTTAGTTCAGAGAACTAACTTGATGTCTGTGAATTGGCAAGGTCTGTGAAATTTTGGATAATCTCTAAAAATGTGTCAGTTACATAAAAAAATCTTGCCTGTGGGATTCAAGTAATTAAGAGATAAGTAATTAGTAATTAAAGAATTAAATAGCACTGAGATTTCAAAAACTCTTTGGGGAGGCTGAATGATGCTTCTTGGTGTATTTTGTTTGTTGTAGTCCTGTTCTGCAGTGTGTAGGTCAAGTATTAGTTGTGCCTGTTTAGGCATGAGCTTTGGGTAGGGGGCAGAGGGCTCGTCCTTGGTGTGCTGAGCATGTTCCCTATCAGTGCTGGCTGGTCTGTGTGCCCATGTTTCACATGATGTGCTTCAATCCTTTCAAGGCTCTTCTCTCATTTAGTAGCAAGGGTTCTTTCCCTGCCCTTCTGTTGCAAAAGGACAATTCCTTTCCAAACCAGAAAGGCTCAGCTTCCTTGACCTGAGGAATCCAGCTGATGTGTCAGGGAACCTCAAACACCTTGCAGCCAGTGAAAATTGAGCTTATGTTTACATTTTTGGCTCTGAGCTGTGGTTCTTCTGAGAGCTGCTGTGCTCACCCTGCTGGGGATGCAAGCAGGCCACTCCCAAAAGGTGAACAGAGCTTCCTCTCCCCTTGAAAAGAGCTGGGGAGGTGTGGCCATATACAGCTTTACAGACCTGAGTATCACCTGCTGATGCTGTTTAATTAGAAGGGAAAAGGATGTGACTGGGTTGTTTGTTTCTTTTTTTTTTTTAATTGCAGCACTGTAGAAACTCAAGGCAACTTGAGTTTTTGTCAGAGCAAATGATGGGGGGCGGGGGAGGGGGGGAAAGCTAGAAGAAGGAGGTAGGTTTTTTTCTCACTAGACTCCTTATGAATTGTATTCTTGACAGGAATGTGATGTGCATTACACATACATGCAGTATATGTTTGCATCCAGAAATTCACACCAGGGACTGAAGATTTCAAAGACTTTGGACATTTATCTGTTGCAAACGTAATTGTATCTAGAAGTAAATAAGACTCTGCAATTTATAGGCACTTTAATCTTGCACTATTTATGGACACAGGATTACTTAGAATAATGCTGCCTTATTTTATACTGATGGTGTTGTATTTTCACCCCTGTAGTAAGGGTTATTTCAGCTGTGAACCTTTATCAGAGTCTGTGAGTTTCTAGAGGGTTATAAACTGGCTTGTGTTGTCTCTGAAGAAACATGAACTCTCAAGCTTGGAAGAACATAGTTAAAAATTTAAGATCCATCAGTGTACCAAATATTTATGCTTATGGATAAATATAGAGGATTCTTTCCAAACATGGGTGGGTGTGCTTGTATGAACGTTCTGAAGAGAGAGTTAAAATTAACAGCAGTTTATCTGATTCTGCTGTTTGTTATGTAAGGGGAGAGAGGCTGCACTCAGAACTAAACAGAAATACTTCTAAATTCAGAGAAAGTTGCCATAAATAGACCCAAACCCCTTCCTTCTTCTGGGAACTGGTCCATACACAGTGCTATTCTCTCTCACCAGGGCAAGGTGGATGTGTTATTGCCCAGCTGGACTAATTTTTGCCAGGCTGCAGGAGAGCCCCTGCAGGTGTAATATTTTAGTAAGAAAGAGGGTTTAAATTTCTAGCACTGGTAGCAGTGATGTTAACACAAGACAGAGTGTACCTCCTTTCTAATTCTAATATGCTGGCTTTTAATCAGCAGTGCTTTGACGTCTGCTGCTGAATAACAGTGAAAGAGGAGAGTTGCAGAATCAGGGCCCAAGTTTCTTAGCTATTGTATCTGGGGACAAAAGAGACACGTCAGGTCACTTCAGAGTAAACAGTGGGGTTGGAAAGTGAGCTGAAATGGAGAAAATGTTTTGGATCTTCATCAACCCACAGA